AGCACCCCCAGCTCCCCCAGCTGCTCCTCATAAGACTTGTGCTCCAGACCCTTCACCAACTCCATTGCCCTTCTCTGGCCATGCTCCAGCACCTTGATGTCCTTGTAGTGAGGGGCCCAAAACTAAACACGGTACTTGAGGTGCGGCCTCACCAGTGCCGAGTACAGGGGCACTATCACCTCCCTGCTCCTGCTGGCCACACTAGTCCTGGCACAAGCCAGGATGCCACTGGCCCCCTTGGCCACCTGGGCACACTGCTGGCTCATGTTGAGGCGGCTGTCAACCAAATCCGTAGCCGCATCTCCCCGCATTCATCTCCCTGCGCCCTCCGATCCGCTGGGGACTTCACAAACCTGCAGGGCTCCTCAGCCCGTCGGAGGGCAGGCGTAGGCGTGTGATCATAGCTGTGATTTTATGCCCAAATTAAACGAGTTAGGAGCGTGTCTGGGGCACTGTTTATGGGAGACTTTGGGTTTTGTGGATCCCAGTTAGCCTCGGGTACGAGATTGCCGGAGCCGAGCAGCTTGCTGCCATGCAACTCGGAGCCTGCGGGGGAGCGTTTTGGATGTCTCGATGCACGTGAGCAGCGGTTTGGGGAGGGAGCTGCTGGATTTGGGCACCTATTTCTTCCCCTGCGGTTTCCATACGTCACGGACCTGGCCCTCTGCTTCTCAGTTTGTTGTGTATCCCTTTGACTGTTCAAGGAGCTGCTGAATTTCCAGTATCCTGGAAAGGGGATGGCTGTGGAAGTGGGAGAGGTGTTTAATCAAGCGTTATTTAACTTCTGATGCAATTGCGGCTCTTCCTTCCCTCCCTCCACCAGAGGAGCTGCCACCACAGCTGTCACAAGCTTTGCTGTACCTGGCCTAGCTTGGGGCGGTCTGTAATAAGAGTCACTACGCGACGCGTCATGTTCACTTTTGTCTGCGGTGCCTAATTTTCACCTCTCTGAAATGATTTTCAGGACGCAGGCTACGCTGGATGAACTGACTTCTCCGTTTGGGTCCAGCCCACCTGCAAAAACATCTCACGCCTCGCAGAAAAGCAAGAAGGCGAAAGAGCTGTGCAAGCGTTCCCGGGATCAGATGATCATTGTAAGGTTCCCCTCGGGGCGTGCTGGGTCCTCGGGGTGGCCTGGTGCTGAGGAAACGAGAAATATGTCTTGAGGCTAACCGATAAGTAGGTTTCCTTACGTGTAAACCTCAAACCAGCCACGCTGCAACGAGCGTAACGAGGCAGAGATTAACACGCTTAGCGCTAGATGAGGACAGGGTAGTAGCTAGGAAATAGGTTGTTATGGTCTCCCTGGGACTAGCGCTTTATTATGTTTTAGAATTCAAAAGAGATTTATGGAACGTAATGTTAAAAAAAAACCCAAAAGGAAACTCAGCCGAGCCTGTATGGATGCTATAGGAGTGAATTTGGCTGGATAATTTTCCTTTCCCACGGCGTCCTGGCCCGCTGCGCGAGCAGAGTCAGCACAGCACTGCAACCGCAGCGGCAAACGTCAGCCAGGGAGCAGGAACGTGCGACCGAGAGCCGAGCCCGCATGGAGCTCGCTCCGCTAACGAGGGGGTGCCTCTCCGGGCGCTCCACGCCTGCCTTCCTGCCGTTGCCCTTCAGCGTGGAGTACCAATTTTGGAGCAGGAGGAGGCCAAGTGGTGTTTCTGAGGCTCGCGTGTTGTGTAGCCATCACGCGTACGTGGTTCCAGAAAATACGCCCTTAGCGATGAGTAATTTTTTAGTAAACCATTTATTCTCGCTTGGTGACATGCAGACTTTTTCAAGCCTGTTTCCTGAGAGAGCAGCGCTTATGTGATCGTTCTTGTCTGCTGACCTGCCCTTTCTAGCACCCTTTTTGAGTCGTTTGGATGATTTCTGTCAGCTTTGAGACCTCACCGATATAAATTTTTAAGTGTTTTGGAAGCTGGTCCCTGTGGAAGGGATAAAACCATCGCTGCCCTGAAGACGGCTGGCTGGCGAGCCAGCAGCTCCAGCCCTGCCTGGCCCAGCGCGGCCGCGTCTCTCGCAGCCGGGCCCACGAGGGACAGGCTGTGGGTGCTGCGGCACGAGGGGAAGCCCAGACTGGGACGCGGGGAAGGGAAAGGGGCTGCTGCAGGAGCAGCCAGCGCAGGGAATTAAGATGAGCCCTTAGAAGCCAGGCTTCACTCCCCCTCACCGCATAGAGAGCGATCTGCTGTGTGCTTGGACAACTGGCGTTCGGTTCCTTCTCTTCCCCTCCCTGTGTACCGACGGAGATAAAAATTAGGTTATTTTTAGGTGACTGATGAAAAGACGATATGGAGTTTTCCTTTGTTTTTTTGTGGTGCTCTTTTACACTGTTGCCTCGGTGAGGATGTTGCCGATCCATTTCAAGCCTCGTTCCAAATAACGCGTTCATTGCCTTCCCCGGATAATTTATGCTGTGTAGTTCCGAATATTCTACAAATAAGCAAAACCTTGTCCTCCTCTTCACAAATTCAAATGAAAACACATACTTGAATCTCTGATGATTATTACTAGAAGTAATTCTCAACCTCATTCCTTAAACCGAACGTGGTTTTGAACCGCTTCAGAGTGCTTAGCTGGCTCTGTTTCTCACTAGGATGCCGGTCAGAAGCATTTTGGTGCCATAGTTTGCAAGTCCTGCGGCATGATCTACACGGCCGCTAGCCCGGAGGATGAAGCCCAGCACATCCAGCACCACGAGAGATTCCTCGAGGGCCTCAGATACGTGGTAAGGCGACGGCTGCGCTCACAGCTCAGCTGAAGACGACGGTGGGGGGGAAGCGGCGCGCGATATCCAGGTACCAAATCGAGACGGCCGCAGGCAGATGTTTGGTCCTCCAGAGGGGAGGTTAAAGTCTAAGTTAGGCCGTTCCAGCAAATGTCTGCTTTCATCAGTTTGATGAATGAGACTTGACTTTATTCCTGAAAGCCGAAGCAGTTCGGGTTACAGCTTTGTCTGCCAGAGTCTGCACTGAATCACTTCCTCGCTCTTGCTATTCCGCTAACTTGTTTGTTTGGGTTTTTTTTCCCCCCCTCTGCGGCAGGGTTGGAAGAAAGAACGGGTTGTGGCAGAGTTCTGGGATGGGAAAATTGTCCTGATTCTTCCAAATGACCCGAAATATGCCGTCAAGAAGGTACGTGTTTGTTTATTTTGGGGTTTATGTTGTGGATTAGCTTTCCGCTGGCTCAGCTCCCGGAACGACCTCAGTGTGGGACCGTACGCCGCTTGCCAGTGCGCGGGGCGAACAGGAGAGCTGCGCGGGGCTGCGGCCGCAGTCGGGGTCGCTGTGGGCACCCGCCCTGACACATCCTAACCCCGCTCCCTGCGCTGGAGCTCTTAAACGACCAACATAACCCGACCCTTTCCCTCCCAAGGACTGGGCTGAGAGGCAGGTGCGCTCTGCGAGAGGCGCAGAGGGATGAAGACAGGAGCGAGAGCCCGTTCTTTAATGTTCTCTCCACAGTCAGAGCCTGATCGTGTGGAAGCACTGGCTAATTTGGGGGAACGAGTCCCCTTCCTGACAGCTTTCGTGCCAGAGAACGCGTCTGTTCGTTCCTAACCCCACCTCTCTCTGATTTTGTTTTCTTAGGCAGAAGATGTGCGAGAAATTGTAGATAATGAACTGGGATTTAAACAAGTTTCTTTGAGCTGCCCAGCCAAGACTAAAATATACTTGTTTGTGTCCAACGAGAAGATGGTTGTTGGGTGCTTGGTGGCTGAATCAATCAAGCAGGTATGTGTTATTAATTGCGTGGGGAAGGGGTGAAATTGCAGGCTAAGAATTGGGCTGTTTGAGTAGGCCTGTGTATTGGAAATCCCGGCTTAGCACAGGAGGGGGGAAAATAAAACTAAGGAAATAAAAAACAACCAACCAACCAACCCACCCAAAAAAAAACAACAGAAGAAAAGAAATTAAGGGTAAGCTTCTGCTTATGTCAGGGTGAGATGTCCCTGGCAGGAGGTAGCTGAGTTTGCACGGCTGGGGCTGCAGCGAGCTTCTGTCTGAGCTGGTGTGGGAGCGTTGATCTGCTGGGGGGCAGGGAGGCTCTGCAGAGGGCCCTGGCCAGGCTGGGTCGATGGGCCCAGGCACTGGGTGAGGGTCAGCAAGGCTCAGGGCCGGGTCCTGCACTGGGGGCACAGCAACCCCAGGCACCGCTGCAGGCGTGGGGAGGAGCGGCTGGGAGCTGCCCGGCGGGAAAGGGCCTGGGGGTGCTGGTCGACAGCCGCTGAACATGAGCCAGCA